CTCTGATCCCACCACCCCACCCCCAGTAGACACTGGGTAGAACCACCAAGCAGGAGAGTGGAGACAATTTCCAGCTGGGGAACTTTACCCCCAGCTGCTCACCCCAAGTCCCCTCTTGGGTTATTGCTGGCTTTTTTAAAAAATTATTATTTGGTTTGGCTTTTAATTACATTTAAAATGTGTTTTCAAATCATTATTGTTTTCTGCTATAAAAGTAATATTAAATTTATTGTAGAAAACATGGAACAAATGGTAAAGTGTAAAGAATATGAAAACATAACCTTAACTGCCCCTTGGGTTCTGAATACGGAGTGATTCCAGGACGCTCTGGAAGGAAGTCCCTCCTCGGTGGCTGAGGGCGGGAGCCCGGGAGTCTCCCTCGGAAACAGAGCTCCGTTTCTTGGAAGCTTCAAGAAATGAAGGAGATAGTCAGTACCTTCGAAAGACTGGTCCAGCAGGCCTGTGATACTTACCAGAGACAGACTAGGAGAATCCACGTTATTTTTTATTTTTATTTATTTATTTTTTTAAATATATATTTTATTGATTTTTACAGAGAAGAAGGGAAAGGGATAGAGAGTTAGAAACATCAATCAGCTGCCTCCTGCACACCCCCCACTGGGGATGTGCCCGCAACTATGGTACATGCCCTTGACCGGAATCGAACCTGGGACCCTTCAGTCCGCAGGCCAACGCTCTATCTACTGAGCCAAACCAGTCAGGGCTCCACGTTATTTTTTAGATCCATATTTCTTCTTCCTAATACATAGTAACAAAAATTACAGTTAAAGAGAAAGAAATCTTAAGGAAGAACCTCCGCTGGCTGCTGTTGGAGGTGAAAAAAGACCATCCCTAAGGTTGCATGTGCCCTCTGGTGGCAGCTGCAGGGGATGGCTTCAGGTGGGGCTGGGCCCCAGGGCCAGCCCTTCCTCTTTAAGTCAGTGGTTCTCAAAGTGGGGCCCCAGGATCTAAGCTTCACTTGGGAACTTGTTAGAGACACAACGTTTCAGGCCTCACCCCAGACCTCCTAAGCCAGAAACTGCAGGTGGAGCCCATTCGGGCAGTTCTGGTGAACCCTGAAGTTTGGGAACGATTTTTCTAGATGAGTATGGACCTGGTACCTGATCATGTGTCACCATAGGTCTGAGGCTGAAAGAGAAGGGAATGGTGAAAACTGGCGATGCTGAAGGCACTGGGGCCCGATCTCCTAGAGGTCCCTCGTCCACACTCAGTTTCATCTCCTTCTCAACCCTAAGATGTCTGGAGGCGGCAGAGCTAGGGGACAGGGCAGAATGGACCGTCTCCCAGAGGAAAGCAGTCCAGGCTTCTTGGATGGAGCTTAAAAGGCCACACGTGTGTGATGCTAAGCCTGGGATTCTTAGGGGAAAGATCAGAGGTGTAACAACAGGGTGATTCCAGAACCCTAGCAAGCCCATCCAGAGGGGATGTAAGACTTGGACCTCGGGCAAAGGCAAAGGAATGAAAAACAACCATTGAGATAGTTAGAATAAAGCAGGAACAAAGTAAGCCCAACGAATGAGGGAGGCCAGAAAAAGGTGTGGCCCCTGGGCAGATGGAAGGAGACCCTTGAGACATTCACTTAACCAGACACCCTCCTGGAGGAAATGCTTTCTAATTCAATTGCTATTGAAAACGCCCCACATTGACTCAAGATGCAGCGGGGCCAGCACGTGGGCAAATCTGGTCTCGGGCTCCAACTCGGTGAAGCATGGATAGGCCCCCAGCAGGCTGCCTGACAGAGAAGTAATTATTCTCAGTCAATCCAGCTGTTGGGGAATCTTTGCACCTGGCTATGTCGAGCAGGAGTTGGTAGAGAAAATTTGATAAGGAAAACAAGGTTTCAGCAGAAACCAGAGATAGGCAGATGAAAGACGTCACGATAAGTCTGTCCCCCTCTCCTTCTAGAAACAGTTCTATTTTTCACTAGAACAATCACGGAAATGCTCTGGTTCAGTTAAGATACATTATTTCAGCCCTAGCTGGTTTGGCTCAATGGATAGAGCATTGGCCTGTGGACTGAAGGGTCCCAGGTTCGATTCCAGTCAAGGGCACATGCCTGGGTTGCAGGCTCGATCCCCAGTAGGGGATGTGCAGGAGGCAGCCGATAGATAATTCTCTCTCATTATTGATGTGTCCATCTCTCTCTCCCTCACCCTTCTCAAAAAATCAATAAAATATATTTTTAAAAAAGATACATTATTTCAGATTACATGTCTAGCCTAGTAATTAACCTTACCCGTTCAATAGTATTTATTGAATCCCTCCTGTGTGCAGTCATTGCTGGGGTTACAGCAGTAAAAAAGCAGGTCTCTGCCCCTCCTGGAGCCTGCATTCTAAT